CCCGGAGTACGACGGGACCGGTGATGTCGTGAGCTGGATGATGCGTGCATAGGTGCAGTGCCAGCCGAAGGGGGTGGCCGTCGAGTCGGTCATACCTCTGCGCCTCACCGGCGGCGCGTTCCACGTCTGGTCGCAGTTGGAGGTGACCAACCGCTTTTCCCTGGAGGCTGTGCGGGGCGCACTTAACTCCGCGTTTGCCCTCGATCAGTACGCCGCCTACGAGATGTTCGCCACTCGCCGGATGATGCCGGGTGAGACGGCTGACGTGTTTCTGGCCGACCTCCGGCGGCTGGCGGTCCTGTTTGGTGGACTGCCGGGGCGCGCGGGTCTGCGCGTTGGTCGCGGGGCTGCCGGACGCCGGACGCCAGACCATTCGCGCCGGCTCCAAGGCTGAACGATTGGACCTGACCACCGTCCTGGCTCGCGCTCGTGCCGTTCTCAGTGATGAACGGGTATCGGCGGCGGCGGTGCTGCGACGGGCCGCGGCGCCGTCCCCCGACCAGCACCGCCGTCGCCGCACGGTCAACGGCCACGCGTCCCGCGTCACCTGCGCTGCTGGGCTTGCGGAGAGCTCAGTCACATCGCGGCGAGGTGCCAGCAGCGACCGGGAAACGGATCCGGAGAGGACGAGTCGGCACCGCCGTCCTCTCCTGCGCAGCACTGAGCGGCGGGTGCGCTGCCCGTCACGCGGCTGAGGGTGGATGGCCGGGGGTGCAACACCCTGATTGACACCGGCAGCACAGAAAACATCATCTACGCTCCCTTCTGCGCGCGGTGGACGTCACGGCAGGTGCGAGTGACTACCATCAATGGAGGTAAGCTGAGGTGCTGCGGGGTCGGCAGTGTGGTTGTGGAGGAGGTGCCGACGGGCCGTGGCGCCTTGCTCGAGACGGTGGTGGTGGGGAAGCGGCCGCTGGGGGTGGACATGGTCCTCGGGGTGGCAGGCATCTCGGAGCTGTGGGGTGTGCCGTACTGTCCCCATCTGAGGTTCGCTTTTGTGGGGCCGCGTGTCGTGTGCCGCTGAGCCTGGATGCCTCGGATTTCAGTGTGCTCTTCGGCGCGGCGGAGCGGAGGTGGACCGTTACTTGGAAATGGTCAGACGGCGAGGAACCGGAGTGTCTGACGAACACTGTCGCCCAGTATGCTGTGCCGCCGGCCGCTCGTCGCGAGTATGACGCCGAGTTGGACGCGTGGGTCGTACAGGGCTGTCTGGTGCCGTATGATGAGGGTCGCCGTGGGACGGCGCGGGGCTGGTACCGTTGATGGCCGTGCAGCAGTGCAGCGAATCCAAGGTGCGCCGGTGATGCACTACTGCGAGCTGAACGGTTTTGTGACGGCCCACACAGCCGACACTGACGTGTGTGCTGCTCAGCTCCGGAGATGACACCGCCGAGGTGCTAACGTGGCGGTGGTAGATCTCAAGCGTGAGTACCTGCAGGCGAATGTAGAGGAGCGGCTCTGGCCGTTCCAGACTGTGGTGATTCGGGGCCAGCAGTTTTGTTTGACGCGCTTGGGTTTCGGCCTGAACATCGCCCCTCTGGTGATGAAGGCCGTTGTGCGGTCAGTGCTGGAGCAGGACCCAGACGTACAGCGTGCTGTCCTTCCATGCGCGGATGATCTCCTCGTAAATGAGGATGTGCTCAGTGCAGAGCGCGTGGTGGCCCACTTCGCGGAGTTTGGGCTAGACTGCAAGCCTCCGGAGCGAGCGGCCAGCGGGGCGCGGCTGTTGGGCCTGCGCGTCCAGGCAGAGGGCAGAGAGCTGCGATGGATGCGGGACAACCCGGTGGGCGCGCCGTCGGCTCGCGTGACGTCTCGCGCCGTGTTTGCGTGGTGTGGGCGACTGGTCGCCCACCTGCCCGTGTGCGGATGGCTTAGGCCTGCAGCGGTCTGGCTCAGACGGCGTGTGAACCAACTGACGCGGACGTGGGATGACGCCACCGAGGATGCAGCGCTGCGCGCTCAGATGGACTACGTCGCAGGACGTAGTCCATCCAGGCCCGAACAGTGACGACCCGGCCCGCGGCGCGCGGTGCGTGGAGGGTGAAGACATGGTCATCTGGACGGACGCGAGTTCTCTGGCCACGGGGTTCGTGGAAGAGTCGGCGGCCGGTGACGTCATCGAGGACACGTGCTGGCTGAGACGGGATGAAGCCACGTACATCGGCATGGCCGAGCTGGACGCGGCCATCCGAGGCGTCAACCTGGCCGTCGCCTGGGGAGCACGGACAATCGACCTCCGCACCGACTCGGCTACCGTTCATCGCTGGCTTGATGACGCCATCAGTGGTCGCGCGCGCCTCCGAACCAAGGCGCACGGCGAGCTGCTGATCCGGCGGCGCGTCGAAATTGTCTGTCAGCTGGTCAGTGAGTTGCGGCTGCGGTTGTCGGTGGCGCTCGTGCGATCGGTGGAGAACCGAACCGACACGCTGACGCGCGTGCCCAAGGAGTGGCTCCGCGATGCGAGCGCAACTCCTGTGGGCGAGCCGCCGCCACCGGGCGTCAGCACGGCGACCGTGGGCGAGCTGCCGCCGCCCGGTGATAACGCGGCGCATGCCGGCGGTGGCGCAGGGAACGTGCTTGGTGCGTCGGTCCGAGAGTCGCACGAGCGGGCGGGTCGCCCAGGAGTTCGTCTAACTCTGTACTTCGCACGCCGTGACATGTCGCGTGACGTCACGCGAGCCGTAGCACGTGCGGTGGTGGAGAACTGCGTGATGCGTGCAGCTCGATCGACTCGGCGCCGGTGCGGTGGCGGCACGGCTCGCTCGGCGTGGCTGCCACGTGGCAGCGCATCGCGATAGACGTCCCCCACCACAACGCACAGAGCTGCCTCACCATCATCGACTGCGGACCATCCTGCTTCTCCGTGTGGCACCCCCTGCCGCGCCGCGCCGGTGCAGCCGAGACGGCGGAGTCCGCGCCAGCGTCGGGAGTATATCGGTACTCTGCACGGGATTGTGTCCGGCCGGTGCCGGCGGGCGCCGCTGAGGCTGGAGAATCACGCCCACCCGTGTTTGACGGTGCGCATCTCAGAGTTGGGGACCGAGTGTGGATGTGTCGCCGTGGCACGCGTTGCACGGAAACATCGCGTCGCGGGACATTGACGGGTGTGGCGTCGCGGCAGGTGGTAGAGGTCAACGGTGTGCCGCGGCACGTGAGAGTCGTTCGGCCTCTGTGCGGAGGGGGCGAAGACGGCGACGGGACGGGGGCAGTGACAGTGCTGACGATGAGCTGCCGATGTACGTGTCAGCTGATGTCGTGATGAGCTGCCGATGTACGTGTCGTGTATGGACTGTGCGCCGGAAGCGGAGGACGGTGCTGGCGCGGCTGTAGACGCGCCTGAGCCGGCAGACCGTGCGGTTGGGCCGGTCAGGGACGACCGGGTGCCACTACGCCGGAGCGCCCGCCTGCGGAGGGCGCCGCAGCGCTACTGTTGTAATGATCCGTAATGCGCTGTTGTGATCCATGAGAATAAGGGGGGGGGGGGGGGGTGTCGTGCGGCCGCGCGGGCCGGCTGTGTTTATGCCTCCGGGCCATTATCCACGTGACCCGGCCGAGGTCGCGTGTGCGGACCGGAGCGGCCGCAGACTAGAGGTAGGCGACGGCCGGTTGAGGTCGGGGGCTAAACCTGTCCTGAGCAAGTGCTGGGTGTTGTTGCGTAATTAATATCCGAATCGTGATTCAAATACAAACACCCCCGGACATGAATTACCGGCGCATGCGGCATGTGCGCACCGGCTCCCTGCACATGATGAAGCCTGCTTGGATATGATACCCTACCAATATGATGTCCTGCAGCAAAGAGCACATATCCAGCGCTGCCCGGGTGCGAGGCATATACCACCTAAATAATGCGAGTGTAAGATGTGCGCGAGCGCCTCTCGCGTCCACCAAGTCTGACCAGTTCATTGTTAACGAGACAGCGTTCCCCAATGGTAACCTTCCCATGCGCCAAATTTGACGTTTGCAGTTCGACGTATTGACGCAGCGGATGTGCTCAGTCTGAGACGGAGCTCGGGCCTGACGGATATGTCGGACACCACGCGCCACCTTTGAAACAACTGCAATGGAGTGCGGATCACGCCGGGCAGTTCAGTGTGGTGTACAGTGGAATATAGTTAAGTGTACCAGGGAGGAGTAAATTGCTTGAGTGAGCTTGTACTTGGCTTGTAGGTTACCTTTACCGCTCTGCCCATTCTAGAAAGAAATTGCACATCAGTGAAATCGGCTTTTGTAAAAAGCTATTTTTCCTACCCCAGCTTTGTGCAGGGAGGCCACTTTGCAGCTCCGCGATATTTTTCGCCAAATGGGTCCACTGTCTCGTGAATAATATCGCTGAGAAGCAAAGGGGACAGACGATTCTGACCTCAAAGCTGTGGTAAAGGAAACCTTGCACAAAAATTAACACATCCAGCTCCAAAAGACCTTAAGATTAACACGACCATACGTACAAGCGCGTTGCAAGCTCAACAGTGCGGCCAGCACAGTTTTCACAGCTTGATGGGCCTGGCGAGCCGCTCAGCGTGCCACAGAATCTATTGCTCTCTTCGCTGCCGCTGCCCAAGAGGCACGGGGGGTGCAGATACGCTGTCGTGTCCGGCTCGCGATAGCCGTGTGATTGCACGCTGCGGGAGTTAGTGCAGCTGGCCACGCCTTACGAGATGGCTGACAACCCAGACGTCCCGGCAAATGTCTGGTAGCAGGTAGCCGCTACAGGTGTTGTATTAGACTGGTATTCTGTTAGTGTGTAGTAGGTAGACACTGCATGCCTTCCAGGGCATAAACATTATCCAGATGGTCCGGCGAAGAGGTGTAATCATTGAAGGGGGGGGGAGGATTTAAGCGCTCCTTTGGTTCGTCATGTCCCCACCCTTGTGTTGCGGCAACGGCGATCCTATTGTTGCAACGCCTCCTCTGTCACCAGTTAGCCCCTTAGATCCCCGACCGTAATGACACTGTTATTGTGTAATCCTATGACGCCTCATGCTGACGCCACAAATGCGTCATGGTTTGAGATTAGACCTGCACACCAATTTGCGAGCATCGCCCGCCTGCTCACCCCAGAACGCCATGAAGATGGAGAAGAAGACGGTGGCCGGATTGTCGAAGAGGTAGGTGATTTGCGAGAAGAAGCAGGACGCCTTCAGGTCCCAGTACTCACACGCTTTGTTACACAGTGGGCACATAGTCACGTTGCTGTGGCAGATTTCGATGCTGAAAAATAATGGCATGTTGTTAAGTCTTATGTGCTGCATATGCATCAAATTAGACTGGGGCATCATTCCAAATTTCATGTTCAAGATCGCTTGAGAAGGTTAGGCATCAATTTCCACCGTCGTTTTCAATCTAAAACATTATTTTCATATCTTGCGAACGGGTAAAACACTGTGTGCCTCAAAATACTGAACAATTAATAGTTCAACGAGTTTTTTAACCCGCGCCCGGGTGGCCGCCTAGATACCCCGCGCTCGGGCGGGGGGGGGTTCGATTTGACCCCCTAAAATCTCGGGAACTAAGAAAGCTAGACACCAAATATACAGGGTGTGTCGACCTGTACGTGAACTCACTCGGGTCAAAATTTTAGGTTCCTAGGTCATGACTTTCGTGTCAAAAAAATGTCAAACAAGGTCAAATTCCAGGTTGGTCACTTACGTATCCCCAGAACCTAGATAACCGTTTCTAAGCAAAAGGTCGCGTTCTCATTTAAGGTCAGTGGCCTTGTTTGACCTTTTGAAGGTCAAGGTTACCAAAATCACACAAGGTTGCGTTGAGTTTTGCATTTGACTGAGCGACAAAGAAAACGCTGGGCAGTATGTTCCTAAAACAAAATGTTGACCCAAATCATTTTAGGTCAATGACCTGTTCTGACCTCTAAGAAGTCCATGGAAGCTGTATAATGCGATTCCTGCTATCAATAAACTAGAAATGAGCACCAGAAACTATCCCATGCAGCAAGCCCTGGAGTAACAAAATAGGTTTGTTTTGACCTTGGTGCGACCTTCATACCTGACCTTAGGTCAATGCAATTTACTCATTCAATTGTTGTGCTGCCTAAGAAAGCATCTCGGAGATGTATGGCTTCGTTTAACACTCCGATGTTGGATCAGATTGAAGGATTCCCTAGAAATTACCTTCGCTGGAACCATGGTCTGGCTTTGACCTGCCATAGGTCAGCGACCTTACAAGGTGCATCTAATTTTTTTTCAAATCAAACGATCCGATATTCAATTTCCTACAGCGATGGAAAATTTGGCGCGGCTTCGCCGCGCCGTTCGGAAACCATTCTGGAAAACCTTCGGGGGGTCAATTTGACCCCCACCCGAGCGCGTGTTAAAGGGGTGCAACTTTTCCAAACAAACAAGTGGGAGCAATTTGGAATTCGTTTTTTTTTACCACAATGCCCATGTCGGCATCATGCCAAGGCTCAGAAACCCGGGGGAAGGAGCCTGCAGCTCTATGCCTAGCCCGGTAGTCTGACGGGCGGCATTCCTATACGTTTCGAGAGGAAGGGGCCTCCCAAATATACAGAAAATTGAAGAAAAAAATACACTATCTAGTCTCATACCTGACAACAGCTGAAAGTTTGGGCTGACAAAGGATTAACTGCATTCAGCTGTGGCAGAGTTCAATAGTTGTCAGCGACTTAATCGCAATGTGCCCGTTTAGAGTCCAACGTGGTTGCGACGAGAAAGGTGCCACGGGCAAGCAAACTCTACCAAAATTGGAAATCATACACCAATAACTGGCGCGTGTCGCACCAAAACATGTCCGCCTTTGCGTATGTATGGACTTAAGGCATGCTTTCATCAGTCGTGCCAATGCGCAGGGAGCCACCAACCCATTGTTAATGCCGACACATGCAGAGAATATAGACTGCGAATCACGGCAACTTGTTCCTTCTTCGCCAATTTACCTGGGGTTGTACAAGTTATCATTGTTGACCATGAAGAGGCCGATTATGAAGACTAGGACGCCAACGATGGCAGCCGGCACCAACATAGCCGTGTAGAAGCCAAGCCAGGCGAAGTAGAGGCCGATCTTGTCGCCGAAATACTTCCTCACCAACCAGAGCGGCTGTTTCTTGTGAATGCAGGCAGGCCGCGCCCACTCCAGGTACAGAAGCTGCCGCCGAGGCACAGCTTAAATAGCGCGCTGCCGTTATCGTGGTAAGCAGAATGCCGTTTGTCGACATGACCTCAGCGTAAGCAGGTTCACGATATGGGATGCCGCGCAGGTTGTTGCCACAGTGTTCCATGGATGAGGGCTTCCCAAAGACGTATTTCTAATGCTTCGAAGTAATGTCCAAGCTCATGTAAGATCAAAACGCTAGGTCAAGACAGGCCAGGCCAGGTTAATTTAATTGTAATTATGCTGCCTTACACATAAAGCGCAGAAAAGCCTGGTAAACAACGAAAGCAGCGAGTTTTGAGGCTTGCATGCGTACGTGTCTGTTCCACATAACAGGACACGTATTTACATTTTGGCGTCGGCTTACATCCGTCCATTCGCGAAATTAAACTGAACGACGTCGAACGCAGTTGCCATGAGGTACTGGACGGCCGACGCACGCAAGCACTTTGTCACTCGCGTCTTTTAAGTGCAAACTGTACAACCATTTAGCTAAAACTTGATGAATATATGTATGTGTGTATGTGTGAGTGTGCCTGAGGCATGTGTTGCATATGTGCTGTGACGTATTCCTGTGTGGTTGTTGCTACGAGAGTCCATTTGACATACCTTCCCACTTTAACCTTATCAACTTGACACTCGGAAAAGACCTTTATGTCGGAGAGTATTTCAGACGCCAATGCATACATACAAACATACAAGCAGCCACCACGGCTGGTAAGTTAGGCATTTACGCGTTTGTCAGCGTCGCATTCATATTGGCAAGACTTTACGGCTTTAGCGTCATTGCTTGGATGTCATTGTCATTGCTTGGATTTAATCGGGTGAAACAAAGGGGTAAAGCTTTCCCAATCATCGCAGGTGCAGCTTTTATGCAGCTTTCCCAATTACTACATTGGCATGCTTCTACAGCCATGTTCTCTGATCGTCGAATGAAGGACATGCATCAAAATGTCTTTACTCTTCTGGACACCTAGCAAATCGCAATCGACAGCGTCTGCAAAAGTGAGCGCTAGGGGAGCTGCTCACTTTTGCCTGGAGCTGAGGAGCTGTCATAATTTTTCAGCCTTCCAAAGTTTCTGCGTCGGAATTAGAAAACAAAAGAGGTCGTGGCGTTCGTGAGGGGTTCGCCATGCCGGGGCTTCAGCATTACGAAGACCATGACGCTACGTCAGAGCATAGGCATCGGTGCAGTCCTTGTCACACTCGCCGCCTGTGCGTCACGCCATGGCCGCGCACGGGCCGCACTCTCACCCGTCTGTCGTTGGGCGTGCCACTGCCGTCGTCCTCCTTGTAGCTGCCGTCGTGCAGGGGGAAGGCCGCCACGAACGCGCCGTTGTTGAGGAGGCGGTTGATGCCGACCTTGGAGCGGTCGTTGACGTGCGCTGAGTCCGTGTATTTGGTGCGCATCAGGATCTGCCACACGATCTGCGACCGTTGCGCCGAGGTGAAGAACGTCTCGCGGCTCTTGATGACGAACCTGGCCAGGGACAGACTCAGTGTCGCGAGGGCAGGAGCGAGAGGCGCGAGCAGCACCGCGACTCTTGGCACTACGGTGCAAACGCTGCCCAGCCGCCCACGTTTTGCCACTTGGTCGGTTATGACGTGATCAATACCGCTACTGGCACCGCACAGAGCACATATACTGCATAATTTGCGCGCAGCGTTCACGCATGAGAAGGCCACAACAGGCCACACGAGCTGGTCATTCTTCAAGGAGAAACACACACAAAAAGACGCTCAGAATATAGCCGTTGCGCAAGACGTTTGATAGACTGGCTATGGGATATCTATCACTCATTCCGATCGGACAACATGGGACCGCCACTGCTGCCGACTCTCCCATGACCCGCCGCGGTGCCGGAAGATCTCCTCTCGACGAGTCGGTGCCCGCAGTGAACCGCACATGACCTACTGGTGCTCTCTGTGTCGGTTGAACCCGGCCGTGAAGTACTCCGGCTCCGGGGGAATCAAGTTGGTGTCGTAGCTGAAGGGGTTCTTCATGCCCGGACAGCAGGGCGGCCCGTCGTCCTCGTCCGGCTCGTCTTCCTACGGAACACCGATGATGCCGAGTGAGGCCCACTGGCGACCGACAGCCTCCCTGGGATGCGTCTGACCGACAGTTGGACGGGAATGGCTGCGTTCTGGGAGCTGCGGCAGCGGTCCCGGCGCTCGGGGCAGACAATCGACGTGGTCCGATTCGGGGAAGCACCAGACCATCCTCATCATGAACGGTGCCTGGTTCCTGCTAGGAAGAGAACGTAGTGAACACAGCGTTACATGCAACGGTGACCCCTTCTAGCCCTCACCGGCTAAGGGGGCTGATGTTGTCCCCAAGCAGCATTTCTAAGATTACGAGAAAAAGAAAACGATTACCAGCTGTGCCGTGCAAAATGGCGAAGCTGACCATGCATTCAATGTGCACCGCTTGCGAAGCGAAAATGGCCCCACGTCGTGGCAAATCCCAGAACTATATCTTAGTCTATGAGACCTGCACAGCGCTGATTTACGACAAATCGCCTCTTTGCTGCCTGATGACAATGTTTGCGTCGTTGATGCTTAGTGGCAACAAGACACGAATGACGTTTTACTCCTTCATGGCAATGAATGGTACTTCTGGGCACGACACCTGATGCAATGATAGACTAGCAGCGCGCAGGTCGTTTTCTACTTGTTGACAACTATTCAAGACCAAACGAGGCCAATACACTTCCGTGACCTTCCTTAAACTTGGGCGGTCCTATATCACCTTATTTGCAACAGAGACTGATTCAGAATGTAATTCCAACCCACCTGGCTAAAAGGTTTGAAAATTTGCGCCTAAGTCCATATTTGTTCTTGGCTTTTGGCTCTCAGTCATTAAGGGGGCCTGACCTAGATGGATCCCAGCTGCCCCAGTGTGCCACATTGGAAATCTTTGGGCTTCCTTCACACGAGGATGTTCGTTGTTTTTTGCGTGAGTCGAAGTCGATTCAGGACTTCCTGACTAGAAATACCAATCCTTCGCTTCCCCATCGCTGCTCGCAGGCCAGTGAAGCGATTAAGCATAGGTCCCGCATGATAAGGGCTAAATAATATGCATAGCAGGCTAATGAGCATAGCCAATTGGTCTCAAGACAATATAATGTGCGTCATTTTAGCGCTATATTCCTACTCCAATTCATTGTCGGGTTGTGATTTCCAACAGCAATATGTCCAGATCAAACGCATTGATCTTTTCACGAATCTGAAATCTTCTTTTGTCTATGCCACTTAGTTTAACCTCTATAGGTCAATGAAGGGTCAAAATTTAGGATCCTGGCATTCCTTCATTTTTTTTCCAAAAAATCCAATTAAGTGGGTATCATTTTAATCCTCGTGATGCCACTTCCGTCACAACTACAAAACTGTATTATCAAGGTCAAAGGTCAAGTCCAGATGCAATGAAATACCCTGGCATTTCTTCGCCTAAATAGAACTTGCAACAAAAAGGGCGTCATAGTGATGCCCGTCGTGCCCTCTTTCATCATGTGCAAAAACTAACCTTCAACATTAAAGATAGATGTCACATAATTCGCGATACCCTGGCATTGGTTCTTTAACATTAAAATGCAACAAAGTTGTGTCAAAGTGATGCTCGCGGTGTCCGCATTCGTCCCACCTGCTAAAACTAATTAATAAGGCCAAAGGTCAAGGTCATACAAAACGAGGTACATCGACATTTATTTCTTAACCAAAGAATTGAACAAAATGGGTATCATAGTGATGCTCGTGTTTTCTACTTCCGTCACACCAGAAAGTGGGTCAAAGGTGCAGGTCACATAAAAAGCAGATCCTTGGACTTAATTTGTTCACTCAAGGAACAAAAAAAGCGGACATCATATTGAGGCTTGTAATATCTGTTTTCCTCATACAGAAAGAGCTCAAGAGCTTTTCCTAGCTCAAAGGTCAGTGTCACACAAAACGCTGTACTCTTGCATTCACAAGTTCACTTAAGCCGTGCGATATAATGGGCATCATCAAGGTCGTCATGATGTCCACTTTCGACACATCTAGAAAAGTTGCTTTCAAGATTAAAGTTCATGGTCACAAAACGCGACATCCTAGCTTTTTTACGAAAGAAATGCAACATAAATCGGGCCGCACTACACACACGCGCCCGGGTGGCTGGTCAAATACCCTTCGCTCGGGTAAAAGGGGTTAATTTGACCCCCCCTGATATCTCAGGAACTGAGAGAGCTAGAGTCACCAAATTCAGTGCATCTTGACCTGTACGTGAACTCATTTACGTCAAAGTTTGAGATCCTAGAACATGATCTTCGGATCGCATATGGTCAAACAAGGTCAAATTACAGGTTGGTTTCCAAAGAAACCTTTAAACCTACATGACTGCTCTAAGTCAATGGTCACCTGCTCATTTAAGCTCAGTGATCTTGCTTGACTTTTTTAAGGTGACCAAAATTATACAAGACAGCATTGAGTTTTGGATGTATATAAGCGGCAAATATTAGGCTGAGCAGCATGTACCTAAAGACAATGTGTTGACCTTGGTCATTTTAGGTCAGTGACCTACATGGACCTTTAAGAAGTCCGTGAAAGGTGCATGATACGGCTCCCGTTATCAATAAATCTGAAATGAGCACCAGAAGCTACCCCATACAGCAAACCCCAGAGTAATAAAACAGGTCGGTCTTGACCTTGAACTGACATTTACACCTGACTCTAGGTCAATACAATTTGCTCATCCAAGTATTGTGTTGCCTTAGAAAGTATCTCAGAAATGTACGGCTTCGTCGAACACTCCGTCGTTGGATCAGATTGAACGATTCCCCAAAATTGCCTTCGCTGTAACCATGGTCTGGCTTTGACCTACCATAGGTCAGTGACGTTACAAATTAAATCTAATTTTTTGTGCCAAACAATCCACTATTTAACTGGCCACAGCTACACAAAATTTGGCTCGGCTGCGCCGCACCGTTCGGAAATCATTCCGGAATTCCCTTCGGGAGGTCAAATTGATCCCCACCCGAGCGCGTGTTAACGCTCGTGACGAGCATTTTTGTCACACTTGGGAAAGTAAACTCTTCACTGCAAAACGGGAATCATATCAATGCCTAGAATGTTTGCTTTCGTGGCATTTTGAAAAACGAACTCTCAAGTTCAATGATCAAGGTGGCGCACAGCGCACTGCCTTAACATTTATTCGTACACTTAAAAAGCAAAACAAAACAAGTTGTGTCGTAGTGTTGCTCGTGATGTCACCTTTCAGAGAGAGAGAGAGAGAGAAAGAGAGAGAGAGAGAGAGAGGAGAGAGAGAGAGAGAGAGAGAGAGAGAGAGAGAGAGAGAGAGAGAGAGAGAGAGGGAGAGAGAGAGAGAGAGAGAGAGAGAGAGAGAGAGTGAGAGGGAAAGAGAGAGAGAAAGAGATATATATATGTATATATATATGCATATATATATATATATATATATATATATATATATATATATATATATATATATATATATATATATTTGTACCGGCATTCTCCTTGATAAATAAATCAATCGTATGCTACCGAGCCTTTTGTGACCTTAACCTTTGACCTCTAAACAAACTTTCAATAGGCGTAATGAAAGTGGACATCATAAAAGCTGCTAGGATGGACTATATGTCTATAATTGGCTTCAGCGAATACTCGACAGGATACTGCGTTTTGTGGCCTTTACCTTTGACCTTAAAATAAATTAACGAAACTGTGTGGCGAAGCTGTGCGACGAAAGTGGATAACCACTATAATGCCCATCTAGTTGCATTTTTCATAAACGAATTAAGGTCAGGGTACCGTATGTTGTGTGACCTTGACCTATGACCGTGCGACATAGGCTTTCCATGTTTGACGAAAGCGAACATCACAAACATCGACAAAACACGACTTGCGTTGCATTTGTTTGACAAATAGATAAATCTCGCATTTTTATGTAATTGGCCTTTGACCTTGAATTAAACTTGTTCTAGATGTGACGAAAATAAACATCACATCTTCCACTATGATAACCGGCTTGTTGCAACTCTTAAGTAAGCGAATAAATGCCAGAATGCCACGTTTTGTGTGATCGTGACCTTTGACTTTCTTTTTAGTTTTTGCAGGTGTCACGAAAGCGGTCATCTGGAGCATCACTTTCACGGTTATTTTATTGCATTTTGTTGATAAAGAAATAAATGCTAAGATACTGTGCTTTGTTGGACCTTACCCTTTGGGCTTGAAAGTTGGTTTTTTTGCAGATGTGATGAAACAGGTCATCAATACATCAATATGGCACCCTTTTAGTTGCACTTTCCTCATCACTAAAAAATGTTCGGGTATCCCATTCTATGTGACCTTGACGTTCGGCTTTGAGAGTGAGCTTTGTTGTTTTGACGAAAGTGGGAATCACGACTATCGATACAAAACATTTTGTAATGTCCCATGTTTCAGAACGCTTGCAAAATGTTCTCAGTCATCGTACCTAAACTTGGCAATGGCACTTCAAATCTCCTCATAAGGTCGAGGCAATTCGCTTATAGGCGTAGACCCGAAAGCCCAGTGATGCAGCTACGGCCTTCAAACGGCAAGCAGTAGTCACTGCGGGGTTCAGACCCATCAATAATGAAAAAGTCGTTTTCCGCGGATGGCCTTGTCATGTGGTCTTACTTGGCGTAGTTGATAAAATGATCAGGTGTGGTCTCAAACAAGTCCTGGGTCATGTGCCATCATGCAAGAATGACGAGACCAGTTTCAAAGGCCAACGGTCTTTACTCGCTGGAGCCACTTCTACATTGGTCAGCACGAACCCATTCAAACACGAAAACGCCACGCATTAAACACACTGTCACATCTACGGTACATCAATTTCAGCAAGTGGGCATGTCTGGAGTGAAAATGCTCTTGCGGGGAGGTGTGTGGCTTGAAGTCACATGTGTGCTTCGATCACACCACCAGCAAGCACAAACTCCCTGACTCAAAGAATGGCTGCACGAGAAGACGTGACCGGTGGAGATACAACAGCCAGTACGCCGCTTTGCAGAGCCTGTCGGGGTGAACGGTGATCGACCATTCATGCAGGATCAGTCCACTTTGAATGGGAAGGTTATACACGAAGCAGCTGGCAACAGGTAGTCCGCAGGTGCATATGTGTACCTTGAGAGAAAACAAAGAATGCTGCAGGTGTGAAACAATGATTGAATCGCTGTAAATCAGGGTATGAAAATAACACTGCGTGAGCGCATGGGTAGAACATCTGGCAGGGAGGTGATAGGGCAAGCGAATAAAGATGATCCCTTCGCTGAAACGTACAACCGGGCACCCGAACAACAGCTTTACAACATCTACGGGACTTACCCAAGCATGGTTCACCACCACAAACTTCTGCAATGATACAGCGATGATAGTAAAGTCGGTATAGGGATGAATATACACCAGAATGGCAGGCATCATTGAAGCAAACTAACCTATTGGCGCACGCAAGCGTACACAAAGCAAACACGCTGCTAAAATTCCAACATAGTAAAATGCATATCAAGCTAAGAACCAAATGCATCCAACTCTCACTACGGTTAAATGGCAAATCTCGGGTGAATGAAGCAAGTCTGTCCTTGTCATGATGCAAGGCATTTTTCACTTAGGTTTACAGCATGCATCGGCAACAGCACTATTGACTGAATGCACAACCCAGGTAGTGACCATTACACGAATCGCGATTTCTTTCTTCAGAAAGCGCGGTAACATCAGTGGCCGTTACAGCCAAGCGAGATGGCAAACATTACCGGGATGTTGGGAATAAAATGCAAATGTCATTAAATGATCATTCGCGTGATAAAAGACAGTGCAACTTTTTTGCAGTCGAGTAAACATTAAGATATAAAATGATTGATTTGATGTTGTGTATTGATAGTACAACGATACTAGAAAAGCCCAACAAACCGATGCTTAACACTGCTATGGCAAAAAGTTCACGGGAAACACATTGCCAAACTTGAAATGACCAAGCGAAATTTCGCCCTCTAAACGAATTTGGTTACTTAGAGAGACAGAAGGTATATGTTCAGAACAACGTCCATACATTTTGCGTTCGAACCAGACCATCCATTGTGTCATCATTACCATCCATTGTGTCATCATCACCAACCACGGTGTCATGAGCATTTATCAATCATATAATGTCTTTATGCTTCTTACTTAAGCCTGGGACAGCAAAGATAAATGAATATCAAACCATCTGATTCAACGCTCGACAAGATCAGAAGGAAGCCTTGTTAGTCTAAATGTGAATTAAATCGTGCGATGTTTTTTAAGGACTGCATGGATCAGTTCGTGCTGCATCCACCCAGTAAATGTGTGGCGAAAAAACCACTCCGTGCAACACGGCAAATGGAGAGTTATAACCACGGTAGTTACGTTGCTTACCTTGATCGGCATTTTAAGATTCATAATCTCGGCGTATCTTGTCAAGACATCCCAGGGCGAGTGGACCTTGAGATAGTATGTCTTTCCGTCGCTGGAGTGCTGCGGACGACACCCAAACGTCAGGTGTCACGGCAGCTTGACTCTTGCCGCAGCGTGAATGGGCGGCAAAGAGGGATGGAAGGGCAGAAAGCGCCGAAAAGAAGACAGGGAGAAGAAAAGACGACGCTAAATTAAGCATATTCTTCCTCTGTCGCAAACGTGTGCTTAAAAGTCGAAGGCCGCCCACTGAGTGGATGCAGCGCAACAAGAATCCCCCACCTTTTTGTCCTCGAGCTCGAGTTCGAGTCCCTCGCTGATGAGGTTGGCCTGGAATGTTTTGCGCTTGTGGATCCTGTTCACATCGTCGTCCTCCCGGTAGGCGAGCACCATGTCGATCTTCCGCTTGTTGTCCCAGAAGAACTGCGTATCGATGCGACGCCGAACCTGCGCATGCCAGTGCACTTATAAAGCATTCAGGTCTCATATTTAGGCAGTGATGCATTGAGCTCCTGTTTTTTCACCCTTACTTTGAAGTTTTTCTGCAGAGTAAGTGACCTTCAGTATAACAGGACGTGCTGGTTAAACGCCATTATAGTGCCAAATGATTATCAAATTAGGCACCGACAGTTTAACCATTGTTTGGCACTATGACGTCGTTTAACCAATGCGTCCTGGCATACTGAAGGTCGTTAACTCAGCATTTCAAACTCGTGATGCATTTGGACTTCAGTAACACGCGCATGCGCAATAGCGTTTGCTTGCTGAGCCTGCCGTCTTAAGCCTCAAGGCAGTGTGTTTAAAGCCCAGAGCGTTTTTTTTTTTTGTGGCAGAGGCGTTCATTATAGACAAATTCCACGCTAAAATATGTGATGTGTGTCGTAACGTGTCCCATGACAAGGGTCGGTTGGACCAAAGCTGATTCTGCAATTGCAATAGATCGCGCATAGTTGGAGCTGGAGACGCAGCGGGTGTGCATCTGTGACACAGATTCATTGGTATGAAATGACATAATTAGTCAGCGATATGGTTGCGGGAAGACGTTCCTATTGGGTGGTGTCAGATTGTTTAATTAGCTGAGGCAACGAAAACAACCGTAAAATATCCCACTAAAACTAATAACTGACAAATACTTTTAATTCAAGAATAAAGCGAAACTTTTACGAAATGCGCCAGCGAGCACGTGCACCGTGAAATGTATCTATCGACTGCCATTTTCATAATGACAGCTCTTTTGAGTCGCCAAAAGCACATATGAGAACAGATCATCATCATAGTGCGCCCCCTATCTCGAGGCTCACGGCAAATATGCATACCGTTGTTATCAGGGACGGATATTGCTAGTGAACAAGAGCAAACCATTCAGGTCTGGGGCCCGACAACCGCTAACTAGGACAGCAGTCTACAGGTCTGGCTATCAGCTGACCGTTGTTCAGAAAGACGCTTCGCCCGCCTCCCTATGCCTGCGCTAATCGCTCCTGGTGCGTCAAAATTTGTCGTGGGGGCTGATGGTATGCGAGGGTGGGATGGATACCCGAGCCAACAGACATTGAGCACATCCTGCGTATCCACAGCTGACAGCGTACTTAGCTTGACTCAACGACCCGCGACCTGTATGTACCAAGCTCACTTGGTTGTCTCGCTTTGCGCCTCAACTAGAGCAGAGTGTTCGGTAATAGAGGAGAGCGGGTCAGATGCGTGCTTACCTCGTGGTCCATTTCTATGGACTGCCCGAGCATGGCGTCCACGGATGCCTGCGGACCGCGGCCAAACCAAACAAGCGAGCGTTAGACAGATGACATGCGGATTTGGGGTCCACTTAGAGCGTGCGTGCGTCACGCGCAGGACGGGGCGTGAACTCCGACGGTTTCAAACGAGCCGCCAGAGCGTGCTTTAAAGGAAAATCGTGCAAAAATAATATTGGAACTGACACGAGGAGCAAATGATAAGATAGCTGCTTTGCGTGACCAGAACGGAATCACAGAACGTGCTAGATCACACAGATCACACAGAACGTGTTAGAGCGGAATCACAGCCAAAACCAGTGCGCGAGTTTTTCTTTAAAGACCAAGCGGGCGCGCACTCACGTGCAGCACATCTGTAGCCTTCCGCAGCACGTGCATCTCAGCCGGCTTGCTGTGCTGCTCCTGCTGTTCATCGGCCATGAAGCCGGGCAGCGAGGCGGCCTCCTCTTCCATGACGGCCGCCTCGGGGTCCAGGTTGCCGGCGCGTGCCGTCGATGCGCCTGACGACGAGCGACTGGACGCGCCGGAGGCGGCCGCTCCGCTGGCCAAGACGAGTCCGGCGATGTCCGCCTCCGTCAGCGAGACGGCGATCTCGCCGTTGGATGTGATCTCGTCCAGCAGCGCCTGGCGGTCTGAGGTTGCAGGGAGCGTCGGTCAGAGCTCAACCTGATTATCTGGGTTTGCAAGGAGCAGAGAGATGGCGCCGGGTCTGAATATGTGGTATCACAGGGAGTGGGGGAGGTCAGTGTCGGGTCTGAACACCCACTGTTACAGGGGGCTGAAGGACAGTGCAGGGCCTGTAGATCTCACGACACTGTAGCGAGTTAACAGCAAATGTGTGAGGACAGAGGGAACTGCATAGGACAGCATCGACTGGAATATAGCAACAGCATTGACTGAAATACAGCAGCAGCATCGACTGGAATACAGCAGCAGCATCGACTGGAATACAGCAGCAGCATCAACTGGAATACAGCAGCAGCATCGACTGCAATGCAGCAGAGGCCTCGACTGCAGTGCTCCGTGCCGGACAGGGTATCAAACGTCGAATGTAGCACTAGAAAAGCGTGGATAATCCGAAACAGAGTACCAAGGGCTACCTTAAGGTAGTGCGGAGCAGACAGGAAAGCAGAATTCCTTATGCAATGAACCGAAGAGGTTCTACGAAGTTGCCAAGATCTGCAGGACAAAAGAAAATACAGACTGGATGAAACCAAAATATTTATTACAGCCATTCGTACGAGGTGTGAGGGACACACTGACCCAGGGAGGGCGGAAGGAAGGAAGGTATATAGAGAGAGTCAGGGACCCAAAGACGGAAAGAAATAGACCGGGAGAAATAAAGATAACCACATTGATAGCAATCGAGATAGGAGAAGATATAGATATGCAGGGAAAGGGGAATGGAGAGGGAAAGAGTGCATGGGAAAGTGTGTGTGACATCGAGCTAAAGACGAGCACGCTCGCCAGTTGACCCCCCAGAACAGTACAAGCGCCACACAGGGGGCGGCGCTGCACCACACGGTGCGGCGTCTGTACCGGGGACGTGACCGGCCGCTGTCCAGCACCCCGACCCGGACGGGCCCCAGCCTGGTCCAGGCGTCGCGTCCCGTCCGGCCCGGCCACACACACTCCACGCCGCGCCTCGGGCCTCCGACCAGCGCCGATCGTCGGGCCCGACTAACCCCGACGGTGCGTCGATTCCGGCGGTCGACGTCGGGGTGGGCGCGCGACCCCGACAGCCGACGACACTGCGCGCACGCACCCGGCGGCCCGGGACTCGACGGCATGCGGGTGACAGGTGACATGCGACTCTCGTGGTGTATCAGGCAGTGCCCGCTACAGATGATTCTCAGATGCTTGCTCGCACCGGGCCCACACTCGTCTTCAGCAGGCGCTGCCTTAAGCCACAACTAAACCAGACGCAGCGACGAATGCCAGGTGTTTATTGAGTAAGTACTGGTGCCTGACTTCAGAAGCGCATTTCATCAGTACCCGTAGTCAGTCCAGCCAAGAATAGGGCTGGTAATGGGAATAGGTGTGGGTAATGAGTATTTTGCGCAAAAAGTAGTACAAAGTTCTTCTTCTTTATTGATTTGAAACATGTGGTAAGAAAACGAGAACACAACTAGTGACAAAGGCAAATGCCGATCAATTTCACATGGGGCGCATGAACCAGTGCTATGTCATCGAGGTATTTGCCGACCTTAACCCTTGCCTTGACAGGAGTTGCTTGATGAGCCCCCCTCCCCCCCCCCCATAAGCTTTTTGGGGATATCCCTCCGGTATGTTGTACGAGCGCACCAAACTTTTCGGTGACCTATGGGGCATTCATTGCACATGTTTTGACTCTACACACATGTCTCTAGCACTTTTGGCACCCGAGCAAAGACGTTTATTTAGGTACCGACCTGCCGATCGCGCGCGGTGGACCAACACTGCGACACTAACGCCGCAGCGAGGCATAAATTTGCTCAAATAAGGAGCATGCTTGCGTACGGTTCATGTCGCGGTGTAACACGTTTTCTCGCAAATAGCGGCATGTGAAATTGAGAAATCTGAAATTTTGGAATATGGAGGTAAACTGACCTTTGATCTGGTATCATGGGGCCAATAATTGATTAAGCAGCATCCAATTTATTGTTAATCACGAGACCTGGATGAATCAAACCACAGGTTAATTTTCCCAAGCTCTACCTCTCTTAGTTTGGAAGCGGCAGGGGTAACATCGACACCCCCCTCCCCCCCCCCATTCGGGTCTGTTTCCGGAACGGTAAGAGAGCGGAGGACGCGCTATCAAGAAAGTTTGTCACACGGCGCCGCAGACAGTAAATGTAAGCTGATCAGCAATTATGATACAACCACATACTCGTTGCAGGAGTTGCGCGCGCACGTCACACACATGGCGTGCCCCATGTCACGTAAACACTTTGACCTGACCAGAATATGGTTCAGCTGACGAACTTTAGCGTGCAATTTTTCTCGCGAGAATTATTCGCTCTCAATATTCATTTGCCAGAAAATCGAGCAGATTCATTGCTTGCAATGCAGTAACAATATTTTCCAGCATTTCAACCGATTGATAGCATGTATGTTGCTCATGAGAATAACACTGTTCTCAGCCAGCACATTCCCCAAATCATTTGTGGAGGAGGCTTACCCTGCATGTCATTTCAAATGTGCTTTCACATTCCATTCTTTGTTAGCATGCTCAACATCTTAATCCACCGCAGTGCAGTTCAGTTGTGTGCCCAGCTTACCATTCAAGACAGTGACAATGAATAGCACGTTACCAAGGCGACGGAAAACACAGCGAACGGTCACAGGCAAGACCGAGGCGAGACCGCTCAATACCGGTCCATTTTGCCAAGCCTCAGTCGCCATTGCCAGGACAACACTAGCGTCTGCCTGCACACGCCACGACGAAAAATGACGTCCGCGTTTGTCACGCCCGCCAGCCCAGATGACTAATTGCCACCACGTGAAACATGGCGCCGAGGGTCGAAGTGTTCGATAACGCCCAAATGTCTTGCCACGAACCTGTGAGCTTAGCTATCTACAGTCTATAATCCTCTACAATTTTATCACCCTCGCTGGAAAACTTCAAAGGCCATCTGCGTTGGAATTTAGCGCCATGCCGTGTAAATATTTGTAAAGGAGAGAGACGCGCTGCTGCTTGCCCAGCGCCAAACCCTCGTTAACGTTTTGCTCGTGCATTTACTTTGAATCCGTCAAACGGCTTTTCTAATTTAGTAGGTATGACGGTAACGAGACACAAAAGACATGGGGCAAGGCTTTGGCGGTGAAAGGGTTCAAACTCCCACGGCGTCTCAATGACTTTCCAGCTCTAGGATAGTAGCCATCTGCCACTGGCGTTTAACGGTTGCGAGCCTAAGCTAGAGGGAATTCCCTTCACGATATCGTTACCATAGGACTTACAGCGTTGGCAATGTTCAAAGGCCACCGATAAAAACCCGTAATCATTTCCACAAGCCTGTCAAGATGCACACGATTGTAATTTCGGAATACCATATACACACACACACCACATATATATATATATATATATATATATATATATATATATATATTGGCTTCAAAAACTGGCCGATGCCGGTTTTTCGTTCAAGACGTACGCCCATTTCCAGGAGGGATTACTAACCTGATCTAACATCGATAGAGCAATGAATAGTCCGCCTGATGCATGCTGTGGACATATCCGTTTGCTTCACTTGAATATGTGGCGTTCCGTTCCGAGGTCATAATAAGGACCTTAAGTGGTCATGTCGTAATTGAAAAAAAAATGTTGTCAACGATGGAGTTTGCAAGCTAAGGAGCAAGTTTGTAAATGCAGACGTGCCAGCGTATTTTCCGCTGTCTGTTTATTCCAAACTTGTGTGGCTTTTAGGTCTGGACGGACGGTTGGTCTCTTAGATCAAGGAAACATCACAACATTTGTAAGCTTGCATCAAGGGGTATGATATAGTCCACTCACCGCTGGCTGTCACTCTGAACAACGAAGGGTAACGAGGAAAAGCTTGATGCATTGATCATCCTTAAATCGATGCTGTTTCAGTTGGAAGTAGGTTGAACTGTATGCATTTGACATGTGATAGGTGAGTCTTCCCTATCGGGCAAAGTTATTCTTCGGTCTGTGGCATCATAGCTGCTTTATGTTGCAACCCAATAAACCTCCTTGGCTTTAATGCGACGAGCTGTTCCAGCTACTTATTCTTCTAAAAAGCATTTGGCATACCTTCACCAGGTCAACGAACGTCATACACGTCTTATAATGCATTGCAATAATAATCATGACGCAGATGTTATGCAACAAAGAGCAAGGCTGATGCAGTGCACTCCAGCTGTACTCGATACAAAATGAAGCCATGATCACAGGCGGTGGCAGGGCAGCTCTTATGATCCATGCAGCAGCGAACAATTCAAGATCGTGACTCCGTTTAACCTTTGGAAGCTTGGTGTCATTTGCATGCCAGTACCCATAAGCAAAGAAGGTTGAAAATGAACAATCCAAATGCAGCACGTCTGCCATTAACTATGGCGCATACCATACTTACGCCTACTCGGTGCTTACTTGCTTTATATTTACCTGTCCAGTATTACCTTCACCAAAGAAATTTGCTTAAATTATTTTCACAATCTTCGTCAAAAGTATGTTGATGTGTTGCATCGCAATAACACATCCTTGCAAGAGTAATTGTCAGAAGTATCGCATAAAAATGTGATGCTTGACAGCTCGACCTCTGGTGACCTCAATCCTTTACCCTCAGAGGAAGTAGGACTAACATCACTGACATCAACATGGATGGTTTCAGAAAGGAACCAAGTATCATGGCTCAAATGTCAACGACTGAACTGTATTAACTCCCCTAACTGCATGCAATTTGACCGCATATAATGCTCCAAAGGTGGCACGATCTCCTGTTAAGCCTATTGTTTGACATAAGCCGTGACAGCTTTCAAGCTTTTGTAGCATTAATTACGTGAGCATTTCGACAAATAAGTGCGCTGTTAAAATTACAGAACATACACGTTCATAAGAGGAAGGCAAGTGAAGTGCGGGACTTTCATAACGGTGAGCAGGGAGTCAGTTGAGATTTCTTCCGCAGAAGCGGCCACTTCAAACTGAAACTCTGAGCTATTCAGAGGGGTTTCGAGAAAACCGGAAAACTAATCACACTGCAGCAGACAAGGCCTGACGCCTTGTCCAGTCCTTCGGTTCTTCGATTGAATGGCAGAGGACCGGGGCGAACGCCATCTGTACGACGGCCCGGGACATGCAGTGTGCCCGCCAGGTTTGATGAGACGCGCGGCCTATGGACACGCACGAGCGCGTTGTGGAGCGGCAATTATTTTTAACGTTGACAATGGAACCATTAGATTATTGCTTTGTTACCATGCCAACTTACGTTCGTAGATGCACTTTCCAGGAAATGGAGGATGAGCCTGACCACACGTGTCCCGTGCTCACGCATCTGAACACCAAGCGTGCAACGAAAGTGCTAAAAGAGCATGCGAACATTCCCACGTACCGATCTCCTGATCCGCCGATTTGAAGCCCAACAGTTGAATCGGGGGTAGCTCCCGCATGTTTGGGCAGATCACACCACCCAGTCTGGCCCAGTGGCGGGGCGGCCTGCCCAAGACAAGACAAATCTGGAATCATCAGAAGCCTAACATGCAACGAAACCACAGAAAAGGTGACAGGCGGAAATCCATCGACCCCATGTTAGAGGACAGTGCTTTTTCTGATGAAAGGTCGGAGAAAATGGACGTTGGTGACACTCATTGGGTACAGGGGCATGAGAAGCGCCGGGGCTAGGGTGGCGACAGCCTCGGAAGCCTGGTGTCGATCGGATGTTGGGCGCCATAGATGACAACACTTTTCTGATCGGAATCCTATGAATTCTCACGCATGGACCCGCCGCACAACGGAACGCGTCTCATCGTAAAGCGCATTCAACTTGTGGTTCGCACCAAATTTATCCGGGACAGAACAAAATACAGAGAGCTGAGCGTCAGCAGCCTCGGGGAGGGATGGAAGTGGAGAGCGGCAAGGCACAGTGACGCGATTGCTTGCTTAAGTCTACAAGTTTTTCATTAACTGGCTGCATTCAAGAGTTTTACTAAAACCGTCTCATTTCCACCAATTTGCGTCGTAACGCTTCTTTTATTTCTGCACATATTTCAAAATTGTATTTTCCGTGATGATTGTAAAGAGGCGTCTCGCTCACACACCGAGATCAAATGCGTCGGGCTGAACACCTCACTGATGCTAACCAATCACGCAATGGGCCAAACTAAGTAAAAGGATGCTCATCATCAGTACACCTTTTGGAACTGACACAAACAAACATGTCAGCGAGCAAAAGTAAAGGTCGATGTTTTGGTAATTCTCTCTACGAGACGTACCATTCAATGTGCATTAGGCAAAACACTCTCTTTCAGGACGCAGTTGCTACATGGACATTAAACTGGCATTGCATGTTTGTGAACGCTTTGTCGTTGTGTTATAGCACAAGTTAACGTCGAAAAACACCTGAAAAATCATATTTGCCTCTGTGCGATCGCGCTGCGCACAAGTATCGATCGTGTCCTTTCGTGCTTTTGTGTCCTGGTCCTCGCGTCCTCGGGTGTTCTTTTGAGTGGCCATTGTCCGCCTCCCTGCCTGTTGACTTGGCACCCAACGGTAAGCTTGCCTCCCTCTCACCCCACTCAAACTTCTGGATTCTAAGTACAAGCATAACATTGAAATAGGAGCTTAAAATCATATTGGTTTTAAAAAGAGCTTCTAGGGAATATGTCACAGCTAAGAGAAACGAAGAGTCGGAAAACTGCAATGTCGTGTCCAATTGCGTGTAGATGATTGAGCTCGTCTCATTTTAGGCCTCCGCGTTTTTGTCGTATTTTCTTCCTTTTGATGCAAGCATTCGGTTGGCGAGACTCCATGCCCCCACCCCAAGCTTTGAGAGGGAAGTGGGTCAGTTAAAGGGAAAACCTGTTTTTATGCGTGTTTGGATAGGCTTAGCTACTCTTCCCTGATCATCACCTAAACTATTTTGCAGATATTCACAAATGTGATGGAGTTTTAAACATCATGACGCGGCGGAAATACCATCACGATAATACAGCATGAAGCCCACAGCACAGTTCCCAAAACAGAAAGCGTCTGGGTCAAGACTTAAACTGATAGAACTCGCTGTCAGGTTATCGGTATCTTACACCAGCCACATAGCAGCGTCATCTGCTTTTTTATGGATTCCAGCCACATAGAAAAAATTCCGCCGAAGTACGTTCTCGCGGTGGACAATGCACAAACGTAAGATGTGAACGAAACTAAACACGAAACAAAATGTCATCTAATCACCGGAACCTGGGTCATAGGCGCAATAGCCATACACGATATCACACGTTGAAAGTGAGTATCCTCATCCAGTGAGAGCAATGTGGTGACGCAGCTGGTCACGCGTGTGTCAACTTCGGTGAGAGGTGCTTGGTTCGGGTCTGACTTCGGCAGGCTCAGGCTCGACCTAGACAGGCTCCCTCGCAGGAGATGGCAGCAACTGGGGAGTGGTCGCCGTGTCCCGGGATCGACGTACGCTAGCGATGGTCGGCAGCGGTGGAGTCGCGGGCATGGCCGACTTTTCAACAGATGCTGCGGTCCGATCACCCGCCCCGAGAACATGGTCCCGCTCTGAGCCGTCCGAGCTGTCATCTGACCTGCCGGCTCCATACGTCGCCACAGGCCTCTGCATGCCTGCGTACTCTGGCGGTCATTCTGACAGCAAGCACGTGGCCAAGACCGTCTCGCAAAGGTGCCGGCAATGGAACCTCTGTCATGGGCGTGCACAGTGTCTGAGGTCGGCCTCGGTCATGGGTGGCTTGACCCGAAGTTTGCTGCACGAGGACGAGCCTGGCATGACGTGCGCCGACCATGCCAGGTGTTGAGCCCTTTTTTCGCTCACCCAGACTGTGCGCGTGGCCACTTTCCACTTAGAAAGCGGATACGACTCATCGCTGGTCGTCGTTATCACCGACGCTCCGAACCAGATCCAACACATGGATGTCGCACGCGGCTAGTGCAGTGACTATGATTCCAGATTCGCGACCCGACCGCTCTCCATCTGTCGGATGCGATTAAGGAGGATGAAGGATGAGAAGGATTAAGGAGATAAGGAGGATGCGATTAAGGAGCTCGTGACGCAGCGCTGTGCCTTTTGTCACACCAACTCTATGTAGAGGCAACTGAATGTTGGGAGCGTGCAGCCAGCCGATGCAACCGCTGCCAATATGTCCAGCGACGAGTCGAGGCGGCGAGGCCGGGAGGCCCGCGCCGCATTACCTGTAACATCTTCAGTAGGAAGGAGCCGTTGTCAACGGAGCTCCCAGGAAAGCTGGCAGGTCAGGTCAACGAAGCATTCGCTAACATCGAAAGGAAGACCTCCGACGATGTCCTGGCAGCGACCCGGCGGGTAGAAAAAAAAACTGTTGTTGCACGAGTGTGCGCAGGTTACTTTGCTTACGGCCGGTTACCGAACATGCACTGGAATCCGCTATGTCATCAATGAACACCAGCGGTGCTTATGGTTGTGATGATATTAAACTCCATATTGCTAATGTTTTTCTTCTTGTTCTTATTCCGGCGTTACTGCGCATTATCAACAGCAGTTTTGCCTCAGGGATACTACCATGTAAGTGGAAGATATCTCCTTGTGGATCAATTTGTAGATCTGACCATGTCAGGAAGCTGTAAACCAGCCTCGCTCATTCCCGCAGTGTCTAAAATGGAAGAGAAGCTAGTGTGCGAGCGGCTTATGACGCATTTTGCATCGCATTCCATGCCATAATATCTCGAGCAAACATGGGGTTTATGGGAGTAAGATGTTTTGTTTTTACATTTTTAAAGGTCCGTTCTGATGGACTGTTATCGTGATGGTCAAATATACTGTGAAAAATCCATGGTTTTTGGCAACTTTCACGACTATGCTCCGCCTTCCCACTCCCCCAATTATTTTAAGAAATCGTCACACGCGGTACTGCAATCCACGGTTTTGCAGGAACCACCTTGACATTTAACAGGGGAGTTCCACGTGTTTTGACATCTTTAATTTTTGGGTGAAGTGTCACCAATTCAGACCATTGACCAACGTGCCACCAACTCAGACCATTGACCGAGTTGCCACCAATTCGGCCAATTGACCAACGTGCCACAAATTCAGACAATTGACCAACGTGGCCTTCCATCAATGAAATGCGTTTCACACGAAATCTTAGCATCGTTTGTTTTGACAGCTTAGGTCACCACATTTCTGTATGTGGCGAGTAAAAGCTATTCTCATTCAAAAGATGGCGCCCCATGCTTTTCAAAATGCCCCCTTCAGCGCCCTGTGACCACTCAGTCGTGAGTTATTTTATTTGCAAATTAGCATCGACCGCATCGATGTGTCACACCCTCGGGCGTAAGCAAATATTACAGGTTGCAACGTTCCGAAACGAGTTCTACGGAGTCTAATCCGCTTTGATGGTGTTAATAGCGACACAAAAGCTATCTGCCCAAAGTAACTGCTGGGTTTGGAGCTCATCGGCCCCAGTGCTGGTCACGCCGATGGAGCTCGCGTCACGTGACCAAACAGGGACATAGCCGCTTCACGGGTGATCACACGTTTCCCCGGAGCCGTGAATTAGTTATCGACTCGGGTCGCTCATGAAAGCAATCAAACCTACTGACGTCAGCGTACCTGTCATTCTGCCGCAACGCACATCGACCCGGTATGGTGCTGTCGAACGCGCTCGCACAGGTAGGCCGCGGATCTCGCAAGGCACCGCCGCCTGGCACGGCAGTTCACCCCAGCGGGGTACACTGATCTGCCGTACCAAATATTATCAACTGCTGTTAGCAGCAAGGGTTCATACACTGATGCGAAACGAATAACACTAAGGCTATCATGATGTGTACTTCTGCGCCCGAGACACTTGTATGTCACGAGCGTGTAGCTCTTACACTGTCAGTGACCGGCCTTCATTGTACCAGGAGATGCTGGTTAAATGACGCTCTCAAGCAAACATTGCTGGCATTGCCAACGCGTAACGCTTCAAGATGTGTTGGTGGTCACGAGCACAGAACAGTTTGAAGCGTCGGGTATTGGCAAGGGGTAGCATAACCGATGCCTGCTTGATGACGCTGTTTTATCATTACCTCCTGGCTCCTGGTGCATTAGAGGTCGATAAGTGTCAGTTTAATATCTCAGAACTCATAATGCTGAAAAACCTGGAATAGAAGACCTTGCCACCAGCCTTGAGCCTTGAACCAGGACTGTTGAGATTTAATCCAAGGTTTTGCTTACGCCGAGCAAGATGAGCGTATTTCTATTATATAACTACAACGTCCATTCAATCATCTATTTTGGGTTACATCTCATTACTTATCTATTGAGAATGCACTATCTAAGTTAGATATCTTGGTGGCCAGCTGCCACTAGTACCCATATGCAATCGGTAACAGGTGAGGTTCGAGGGTACAGTTGGTAGGTATGGCAGTGGCCACGACATCCGACATTGAAATTTTCAAAATTTTAGCATTTTGTCATTATGCTTGTTGCGGCAACTCAGCGCCC